TTTTGGACTGTATAACTAATATTTACGCTTCCGCTTACTTTTGACGATCTTTTGACGATGCTTTGATAATTTTTACGGTTTTATCATATTTTGATAAACTTTTCAGATAACACAGTTTTTCAGTAACCGTACGTTTTTAATAAGTTAAAACAACGGTATTATAAAGTTAAGTAACGATTTTCACGGTAGAACCCCAAATCAGTTTCGCAAAGTAAAAATGTTTAGTTTTTTTTAAAGACTTTGCGATTAAATGCGCTACTCTGATTTTATAGTAAGGTGGGGTGTTACAATTGGTATCAGAGCACGTTTCTGCGTCTCTGATAAGTTTTCAGTCAGATAAGTTTTCAGTAAGTAATTTTTCAGAAAAGTTTTCAGTCCAAAATTTTTTAGAAAAACCCGAGCCGTCATGTTCACGCCCCGCCGACGACAGGTAAGTGCTGTTGCAATTCAGTTTTTCAGTTATTATAAACATATTACTTTGTCTATGCTCAGAGTTGAGGATCAGAACTTTAGTTAAGATGCTTGAATCAGATTCAGACTCTAGAGGTTGGACATGACTCTAGTATTCAGGCATTCAGATATGACTCTAGACATTAGAATTTTTCCGAGATGACTCTAGAGTTTTTCAGGTTTCACGTAAGTAATTATCGGCCAATTTTGGCAACTCGTCAAGAGATCTGTGTGCCTATTAATCAGTCAGTAAAGCTATTATGTGATATTCAGTAATGTTAAATCTTTTTCAATGTTCAGATGCCGCCACGTAGAGAGCCCAATCATCAGGGTCCTACCCAGGCAACGGTAGTCGCTCAGTTCCGCGACTATCACACAGAAAAGTTCTCAGGTCAAGGCGACCCCCGTATCGTTGATGAATGGATTCAGGGGTTGGAGTTTATCTTCGAAGTTATGGAATGCCCCGATAGGTTTCGCGTAGTCTGCGCTCAGCTTCAGCTCACTGGCGACGCGAGGCTCTGGTGGAACGCCTACTGGAGCATGCGCCCCGGTGAAAAGGCGGGTTGTACATGGGACATGTTCAAGGACCTTGTCCGCGACAAGTACTACCCTTCTTACTATCGGGCAGAGATGGAGCGCCAGTTCTTAGCGCTTCAGCAGGGCACTCGTACTGTCGATGAGTACGAGCGTGAGTTCACTAGACTTGCAGGTTTCGCACCGGATCTTGTTCGCACGGAGGCCCAGAGAGCTCAGAGATTCATTGACGGACTTTACCCAGCAGTCCGTCATAACATTGTGGGACACGGGACTCAGACGTATGCACGAGCCGTCTCTATCGCCCAGGAGGTTAACGCTAGCATTAGGAGGGAGGCCGTTCGTGATCGTGCTCAGCCATCTGCCCCAGCT